AATGGCGCTGCTTTGTTCTGCCTGCAGACACTTGGGTGAGGTCTGAAGGTGGTTTACATGTTTAAACACAGTAGTTATTTACCTCTGACATTTACACTCACAGCACCTTTTCTAGTTCCCGATTTACTTTGAGAAATGAACGCTTATTGTCAAAATATATGTAATGTGCATTGACCATGCTAAAATAATTCAAACTGCATAACATGTGTAAATAAACAGCAAGTCAATGTAACTGTCCATAACCTCAACATTTAAAATTTTTTTTTACTAATTTAAAACTAAACCTACATATTTAATTCTCAGACTGACTTGTGATTTGAGCTTTATTAGTTTGAAAGGAGGTAAACTGAAACAAATGAACTCCCAATTTAAAGTTTAAATGATAATTTAGCTAATCTAGGCCATCTTAAGCTACTGGTGCTAATTTCTTTAAAACATTTATTTTTATTCTTTTTGAAAAAAAAAAAAGAAAAGCACAGAAGCAGCACTTTTAAAGTGCGGGAAAAAAATCAACAAGGCTATAGCTACAGCTATTACTAGCTAACCTAGCCAAGTTATTTAGAAAATAGCAACCAATGCGACATTTGTTTCCAAAGAGTATCCTCGGCCATATAAACCAAATTAAAATGAACATAAATATAACAGCCCATGTACTCATTAAAAAAACCCAAAAAAACCCCCCCACAAACACAAGGACAGGCACAAAGGAAATAATAAATAAATTATTTATGTAAAATCAGGTAAAACTCCTAATAGAGGCAATTAAGGTCGGCTAGGTTACTGTTCACTAAGCTAATTTAGCAATATTTCGTTCTTTGTTTAGTACCATTTATGCGATATAGAACTGAATCACAAAATTGTTTCAGCAATAAAATGAATCTTTTTTTTAAAGAGGGAAAATGGTCATTTTAGCTAAGCTACAGTGAACGCTATCAAAAGCTAACTTATTTCACTTGAAAAAAAAAAAAATAAATCAAACCACCATCTTTTTCTTAGTAATTAGCTTTAGTGCCCAAACCCAACCAGACATTCAAAACTAATTAAATAATATAAAAATAATTTACTAACAAACATTTTTTCCAGATTGTGTTAGCTAGCAAGACTAAGCTTAAACACAGAAAAAGTTTATTATATCCTGTGAAATCTCAGTGCTTCTTGTTAAAAATATTAAACATTCAAGTAGGTTCACCAGGATAAGCAGTTTGAATCTGCTCTGGGTTATTTGCCGTCTACTCCATTGCTTTCGGTCTCCCAGCTTTCCTGTGCCATAATAATTAAAGATAAATAAATAAAACCTATTTTAGTATTATATTAAAGCTTTAAACTGACATTCATCATAAAAAAAAGTAGTTTTATTAATTTATTTTTAATTTTTTTATTTGCATGTTATATTGTTCAGGTGTTTTTCTGGTTTTATGGTACTATGTGAAATCCAAACATTTCCAAATATATTAAACATTTCTAGAGTAAAATAAAGAAAAATGTGGTCTTCTTGTATATACTGTCAAGTTTTGGGTTACATTTTTCCTTCAGCTGTTTTTTTAAATTTTTTTTTTAATTTATTTTAAGTAAAGCTTTGCTCTTTGGTTTTATGCTTATATTGCTGGTCCATCTCCATTCAGCAGAAAGCACTTTGGGTTTGCCCGTTTTAAAATGGACCGCAGCATTTTGGGTTGTTCCTCCGATTAGCAGAGCTCAGCCTGGTGACCCGAGTTTAGTAACTCGCCACATTAATATCACCATCCGTCACCGCTTCACTTACACCCTCAAACGCAGGTTGACAGTTTCGATTGGATTCATTAGAGTTGGGTTTGAGCTGCATTGAAATGCGGGTTTGCCGAGGTCATTTGTCATCCTCTGTAATCTAGCGAACGGTCGGCTTGCAGCGACCTCACTTGCCATTACGAGCTGGAAACAAACCAGCAGCTGCAGAAAAATCTCAAATTGCAGCTGCCAACTAATTAGGCAATGTTGTTACAGGGATTTGGTTAACCTGACAGTGATGTATTGACTCGAGACGAGAAAATGGACCGCTGAGAAAAAAATAAATAAATTTCCAAAGTGGTGCCAACGGCGCCATTAAAATTTGTCACTGATCGGGCTACCTGATTAAAGATGAAACTGTGAAGGGCTGAATTAAATAAGATAGAAGCTCAGGAAAGCATCACACGGGTCAGTGTAGGCATTCAATGGATTTATTGATCTGTTCAGTCCCTTGACAATTGGGGGGAAATTACATGACAAATTCAAAATGCCACAACATAACAAAAAGTCTTTATATACCCACCTGAGGTCAGCCACACGCACACACACTCACATTCACACACACTTAAAACACATCCACGCTCGCGCTGACCTCAATCCTCGTCTTACCTGAACTTGTGCGAATCAGTCCTCTACGAATCAACACTTACCTCGCCCGTTAATTTACTAGCACATGACTGAGGGACAGAACACAGACTGTGGCTTTTTGTCTCCTACACATTTTTATCTTTAACTCGGAGTGAGGAGGGAGATGCAGCACATGATATTACATCAGACAGGAAAATGCCATCTCTCCTCAGTTTCCTGCAGGAGGTTCCGGCAGTTCGATCATGGGCAGTCTGGGAGTCGAGCGGCGGGTTCACCTCATTTCTATTTCTTTTTTTTAAATTGTTCCTCTTAGGACAACATTTAAAAGCCAAAATGCATACGGCAGGCGGAGCTGAAGCAGAGCCACAGAAGAAGAGGAGCAGGATTTTTAAAATGGAGGGCGAGCTGGACGGGAAGTTTGCTGTGCTTTTTAAAGTCTGTGATTTGGTAACCACAGAGTCTGCAAACAGGAAACCCACAGGCCGACTCCCATGCTGCACATGAGCCGAGCCGAGCTAGACAGTCAGATGCCTATCAGGTCTGCCTTTCAGGCCGTAAGAAGAGCACGAGAGTTAAGACTTAACCGGGTGGCAGGGCGAGGGACACGTTAGAGCATCTACATCAAAAAAAGTTCAAGTTTTCTAAAAAAAAAAAAAAAAAAAAAAAAAAAAAAAAACAAAACAAACAAACAAAAACAACCCAGAAGCACAAGAGTCATCTGTGCAGCAGGGTGAGGATGAGGAGGAGGGGGCGATGGTCCTAGGGTGAAGAGCTGCCTCCTCTTCAAAGCTGGGAGGGAGCGAGTTAACACGCTGGTTGCGCCCCCCCTTCTTTCAGCACTTCCAAAACGAAGCGAGCGTTCCACAGAGGAGGAGGAGTGGGGCTGAATGATGAGGAGGAGGAGGAGAAAGGAGCTGGATGGGGGAGGGGGATGACCTGCGGACGAAGGGGGAGCAGTCTTATTCTGTGGCCTTCAGGGTGAAGGAGAGCTTGGGCCTGGACTTGCCCTTGCCGAGGATGATTTTCTGCTCCTCCTTCTGCTGCTTCTGCCGGTCCTGCTCCAGCTTCATGCGCTCCTCGTGGATCTTTCTCTGCTCTTCCACAATACGCAACTGATCCTCAGCCTGCGGGACAGACACAAAAAAAGGAATCAGGGGCGGGGTCACGTAAGGCCATGATTACACTTACCGCCAGGTCAAGTAAATCCAAGTAAATGAAGCTCCTTAAATGTGCCGTGTTTCCCAGAATATTGCTGCTGAAGGAACTACAACAGGTGTTTGTATTTTTTCCCCCCCTACTAACAAATAGTAGTAGTAAGTAGCAGTAAAATTACTTCATTAAATTTAGGCAATAAAAGTTATTCTGTTAGATTTAGCTGATTATTTATTTATTCTGCTATAATATAATAATAAATTATTTATTTATTTTTCTATTACACTTAAACAATGAAATTAATTAATTAATTAATTCCGTATCAATTTTATTAAACAATAAACACGTACTCGTTAGATTGAGTTGTTAAAATCGATTCCATTCAATTTAAATAGTAAATACGACTGAGATTTAGACAACACGTGATTTTACTTTTAGATTATGTAATTAGATTTATTTCTCGTCACCATCATAGAAGCATTATTGTACTGTGTAACTTGTTCTACGGCTCCCTTGTAAAAGCAAAATAAAAAACAAAAACAAAAAACCACAATACACAATTTTGATTGGTCCTAATTTTTTTTTTCTTCTTAAACATTCATTTTGGTTTTTGAAGTATTACAGGAATGCTGGTTTTCTATAGTTTGACCCTGATTCAAATAAACAAAACTGCAGAATTTATTTTTTCCCTGTCCCACTTATTTGCAGATCCGTTTCCATGGCTGATAACCATCAACTCAAAGCCACTGCGTAGACACTGTTTCCTGCCAGTGGAGTGTTGCCATACCCAGTAATGTCACAGCAAAAAGCCTTAAGGTCTCAATCCGTCCTGATTTTTGGATTAAAGATGTAGTCACGACATTAAAAGCTGATGAATGTCAGTTTCTCAAATCAATCCAATTTTTCAATCCAACTTCAGTCTTTGAATTAACCACTAGACCTCTTTCTGACCCGGGGTCCCTTCATCAAAACCAAATAACGTTTAACCTATGTTCTTGCATGTAAATATGCAACGACTCAACAGTGCAAGGATTTCTAGAACATACACTTCTCTGGGGGGGTTTTGAACATTACTTTGTTTTGAAATTTCACAATTTATTTTATCGATACCTGATTATACAGCCCAGTATCGTGGCCAAAGAAAGCCATTTTCTTGTTAGCATAATTAGAACGTTAAACGTTTTTCCAAATTGCAGAATTTTGCATGTTGATGACAAATTGGAAATTTTTGTATTTTAACTCAAAGAGATCTCTCTCTGAATAAGAGAAGATTCATCACGATAATCAAACAGTTTTCAGTGTCTAGTGCGAGCTGAATATTTTATTCACAAACCCTAAATGAGTAATCTAAATAGTAAGCTAAATAGTTTTGCCTTATTTTTAAGTTGCGTTAACTTTTATGTGTTGATAATGTAAAATTATTGCTGATGGTGAGAACACACTGCTCAGTGGATGCTAACGACAGATAGTTGTGTGTCCATTTTGGCGTACCAGTTTGGCCTGAGCCTCTGCGATCTTGCGGTTATTCTCCTCCAGGATTTTTTCCAGCTCCTCCCGCTTCGATTTTTCTTCTTCCTAAACAAGCAACACGATGATATGTTAGCGCACGAACAGGCCACAAAAGGCACGCACGCACGCGCTCACTCACACACTCACGACAAGTTTGTTCAGCCTCTCACACATTTTTAAAAATCCCTCTAATGCTGCCTAGAGAAAAATTAAAGACTAACACACACCTAGTGCTGCATGATTACACTCATCAATAGAAGACATATATAAAAAAGACAGACAATCAAAGCTGCTGCTGCTTTTTAACATGTTTATAAGCAAGAGAAAAATAAAGGAGGGAATAGTTTTGGCTCACCAATGCACGTATACCATTTTCCTGTGTACCTACACAACTGGTGAAAGCGTTAAACGGTTGAATATTTACTGTCTCGTCCGGACTGTGTGGCCCCTGCAGAGACAGGAGCGCTCCTGGTGTGGGTAGGTAGATATGGGGGTTTCTGCCATACGGCGCCATTCCTCTTTATTACTGATCAGTTTACGGCTTAGCCTGCAGCCGCGGTGAAGGAGTGCAGTACAAAGATGTTTGTCTGTGTTTGTGTGCAGGTGTGTGTTTGTGCAAGTATGTAAGTGTGTGTGTGTGTGTGAGAGAGAGAGAGTGTGTGTGTGTTCGAAGTGGACCCGCCCACGGTACACTTACAGTACAGGACGCGGGTCACGGCTGAGCTGAAAGGTTGCAGGTCAATGCTAGTTAGGAAGGTGGTGTTTCCAAAAAATTAACAAAAAAAACAGCACAAACACATTTCCAAACTGAGCCTACAGGAGAAGCAAGTTGTCAGCACAAAAATAAATCAACACATTTTGTTCCAAAAGCTCCACAAAAATCATCAACAGGTGACACAGGTGAGAGGGGATTAACCTGTCAGGACAGGAAACAGGAAATGAAGCGTCCCTGTAATGTTCCCCTCCCCCAAAGAGTTAAAGAGCAGGTGAGGTGGATTAAAACAGACGTGATGAACATTTCTACACATCGCTGACCTTTCTTCCTAGTCCTGAGGGTAAACAAAGAGTTGGGGGGTACATTTCTTAGCCTATTAGTCCCGAGTCAATGGCCGCTGCGCTTTAGCTGGACCGCTCATTCACAATACTGTGATGTAAACAAACGCCATTTTTCTTAATAGTGCCCAGGGAGGGGAGCCAGGGTTGTTTGTTCTTAGTTTAAAAAGGAACCTTTAGGGCGACTAAGCATCTGAAAAGAAATCAGTTTGAATAAAGTTAAAGGCAAGACCCCAGAAGACCTTACTTAGCAGATGTCCTAGCATCTTTCCTGTGCAAACTCTCACTTTTTGCTGGAAAACAAATTAAATTACAATGTTTTTGTCCATCTGACCTTCATCAGGTATACAGGCTATTACCAACTGAAGACTAACGACATTAATCTGCTTATTACCTTCCAAAATTCAACAAATTCACAGCACAAATCAGGTTTTAAAGCAAAACATTTTGATAGTTAAAACATGAGCAGGAATACCAAATGAACCAAACAATGTCACACAAGTACCAAACTAAAACAACCAAAACAATTGGTATGTGTATATAGTAACAACCATGTAGTGGTTCAGATACCTGAAATGATTAGTTTAGCCTAAATCAAGATAAGCTCCAACTAATAAGCTGAAACTATCTAAACTCATCTTATGCTAAGTTAAGAATTAAAGCCAATTTAACTAATCTGAACTTAAGTTCAAGTAGTTTCACACAAATTATTATCAAGTATAATGAGTAAAAGTAAGTTACTGTGCAGTAAGTTGCAATAAGTTCAGCTCAGCTGTGTTCTAGAAGTTAAGCTTTGGATAAGTTAACTTGAGGTAAGTTCAGATAAGTTAAGACAAGTTAAGTTCAGGTAATTTAAAATAAGTCTGTATGTATTAAAATAATATACTTAATCCCAAGAGTTGGAAAAATCCAGCTTTATCAGCTAAATGAAGTTAAACACAGCCTAGCCTAATAGCCTAAAGTGCAATACAATGACAAACATCTCAACAAGGTAAAATTTGGCATAAAAATACTCACACTTAAATTAACAAAAACATCTGTAGAGCTAAAGATTACATAATATAAATAAATAAAAACTGCACTGTGAAATACTGAATTCAAAAGACTAATTACCTGTATTCAAACAAATTAGCTATTCATTATTCAATTAGAAACCTGTGGGCTTTTTTTAAAATGAATAACTAAATCAGTTCAGATCCCTGGCTGATTAAGTGAATAATCCAGAAGTCTCTCTTCCACTTATTAAAAAGTCATGGTCTATACCTTGACTATGCACAGAAACAAGTTAAATAACACGTTTCACACCACTGAAGATTTCCCTGATAATAATTGAACGTAAGATTCGCAGATAGAACGTCTGTAAATCTTACGTTCACTTATTCTGATAAAAGTCGGAAGAAAAAAAACTTTCAGTTTAATAAATATTCCAGCAGTGAGACAGGACTTATGTAACTGCCTCTATAAATTTTGTTTTCGCCTTGAATATTTTATATCACGGTTTCGATTGTTAGATTCAGAAAAATTTGTTTTGGGGCCCGGGAAAGAAAAAAAAAATCCACCCTAATAATGGCAGTTACAATGTCAGACTTGTAATAATTGCATAGTATATTTTTTATGTTTTTAAAAAGCCTTAAAAAACAAAAGAAACCCTAAAATAACCACTGACAGGCAGCAATCTAGTTGGTAAAGTTTAATCTTTAAATTTAAAAGAAAATATATATATATATATACCTTAAATACAAAACTAAGAAATTTGAGTAAACCAGAAAAGAAATGAATATTGTTTTGAAACCCGCCATGGCAAAACTCTCACCAGCAAGTTAGAAATGCACTGCTATCCTCTAATCTCTTTTAAATTATAATTTTTTTTAAACAGAAATAAAATGTCAACTTTTAACCTTTTAACTGTAGCACGTTACATCCTACCAAACTCATGGTAGACACAAGATAAACACATAAACAATATAATTTTTCAAATACTCGAATGTGTAAAAACATATCACCTTACCCATGATTTCAGGAATAAGTGAAATGTTTTGGATAAACAGCTGGAGAGTTGAGGTAACATGGTAGTTTGTTTCGATTTAAAACCCATTGGATGGTTTTTCACTATGAGAGGTCCACTCACTGCCTAATGAAAAGAGAAACTAAGCTAACAGCCTGAAAGACTCCCACACTGAGCTGAAATGCAACTACTGCAAAAAAAAAGAAAAAAAAAAGTGAATGACAGGAATTTCGTTATTATTCTCGTCACTGCTGTTATTATTACTTCAGTAATTTACACCAATGAAGAACATTCATTATACCCTTGGATATATTGATTTGCTTTAGTATCTGAAGCCAAGGTACTCCCTTTTCCTTTTATTCTGAAAGCTGCCACTTCCCTTGAGCACAGCTGCATCCAACTGTGTGAAACTTGTGCCATGGCTGGGTTACACTTTAAACAGTTAAAATAAAAGACCAAAGACCCAGTCAGAGTGGGAAACTGAGAGGTGAAGGGAGCTGAAGGGGTTTGGGTACGGGGTGGTGTAGGGGTAAGGGAGGGGCTGCGTTCCAAACGACCGAGCGTTACCTCTCTGGCCTTCTGTGCCGCCAGCTCGGCTTGCCGCTGCCGCTCCAGCTCTTCCAGCAGCTGCCGCTCCATGATGCGCTTCGCCTCCTCGACGCGTCGCAGCACTTCCCGCTCAATCTCGTCTTTCCGCTTCTCGAGCTCCTCCTCCACACGTTTGGCCACGAGCTCCTCAACTCGCCGCGCCGTCTCCTCCTCGATCAGCTTCTCCTCAATCTCCTGCTGCCGGCTAAAGGAAAGAACAAAAGGTTAGCATGTCGCTAATTCGTGTTTCGGTTTTAAAACGGAGAACTATTTAATTGCTAATCAAATAAACCACACCGAACCGCTTTGAAATATCTCAAAATAAAAGCTTAGTCTGTATTTACCCAAAGCTAACCAACCAGTTTTTAATTCATCATACCTGAGAGTGGTTTTTACGAGCCATACCAAACCCAATATTACAACACAGCTGATCAGGTAAAAAAAAAAATTAACAGAAAGGCTATTGTTCAAATGGATATTTAAGAATTTACTAAACTGCTTTAAACAGCTCTTAAATATACATAATTCAACAATGAGGACATTTTTAATTTCAAATGTGAGATTGGGTGCAATTTAGACTGTTTTTCTGAGTGCTTTGTGGAATTTAGATGGAGGTCACCTGCCCTCCTGTTTATCTTTTCTTTAAACTGTTCTTTTTGTGTGAACAGGAACTTATTAGTAGCGATGTAAACACACACTCTCCACCCTCTCAGGGATCTGGTTTCACTCTGTCAGGCTGTGGAAACCAGAAACTGGACCCAGCCCTGCCCAGCATCCTTTATATTTACATTTGTATGCCCGGTTAATGGGCCCTTTGGCTGTTAGGCAGCAGGAGAAAGGAGACGGGACAGACAGACAGGAAGCCAGGTGTGGGCTGTGTGTTATATTACCTGGAGGCTCTCACACACACAGACACGCACCCACCTGAAAAGCTGCAGTCAACATGGATGTATTTACGGTCACAGCTGTTTCATTAAAATCTGAAATAGGATTATTTCAGTAACGAGGATTAAGTTAACACAGTTACTCAATTTTTTTTTTAAGCTGTGTGTTTAAGTCAGTTTGTGATGTTTAGCTGTTGCAGCAGGTTTTGTGGTTGTTCAATGCGTCCTGATTCTCTCTGCATCCTGTTTAAACCAAATAAGTTTTAAATATCAATAGAATTTGACTTTAAAATAGGCCTTCCTGTTAAAGCCAAGTATCCACTTTTCACTCACATTTGTGTTTCTTAAATTCAACAAGTTGTATTACTTACTTTTGTGGGAGTACTGCATTAATCGAGCAGACTAATGACATGAAGAATAGCTGTTTTTTCACTAATGAAAACTTTGATTTTTCCTCTCAGTGGACCATTGTGTTCACATGTGGACTACAGGGTGAGACATTTACTGAGTTTGGTTTCAGTTGATGTTTTTTAGCTTTTTATTTCGCTTCGACTGCAACTGTGAACTACTGATTATAGCAGTATTTGTACTGAGTGTTTGACCAAAGAAAAGATGGCCAGCTGCTTCAATGGAGATGTAGCAGCTGAGTTTGAAGAACAGCAGGAATCAGCACCTGCATACCTGCTAACACCATGAGCCAAACTGTAAATCGAAGGTTTCTGGTTTGAGTCCCTGTGTAGATGCCTGTATATAATCCCTCACAAAAAAATAAAAATAAAAATCAGCACAACAGAAACCCGCCTTAACTAATAATAAACAATCCAGATGGTTTTAACTGCAGGCATCAACATCTGTGCATTTATTCTCTATAAGAGAAACACATTCTCTCCAAATGCTCAGAGCTACAGCTGTCCAGCTGTTTGTGTCTACAAAAACACTCATTACTAGTACAGCTACAGCTGAAGTGAGATAAAATAATCAATGAGTAAAGTTAATATTCAATAAATCAAGAGGTTTTCACTGAATGTCTCACTCTCCAGTTTATATGTTAATACAATTATCTCTCCAGAGGAGAAATCAAAGTGCTTATTGGAGGAAAAACACTCATTCAACATAGAAATCATGCAAGAGCATCATCAAGAACAATTCAACCCCAAAATACACCTGTGAGGGGAAAGTTAAAAGCCCCACTGCTGGAACTTTATTATTGTATGAACAGTACTTTTAAATTTGCCTTTAAACTTTTTTCTGAGCATCTTTGCTTTAAAATAAAATAAAGCGACTCATCTATACAAGTAGGGCTGCTCAATTAATCGAATTTTAATCTCAATTACGCTCTGGGCTTTCAACGATCATTAAAAATGATTGAGCCGATTATTAGCCTCTCCCTCGTGCTTTACTCTCGTGCTGCTCCGTGTGGCAAATCGAGCGCACCTCTCTGCATTTCAAACCCGTCACAACAATTAAGAGGGCCCGAGGGAAGCTCGGAAAGCTAAGCAGAAGTTATTTGGAGAGGAAAGTGACTGCCGTTGGTTGAAAAGAGAGGTAAAAAAAAAAAAAAAAACTTCAGTGGTGTGGAAACATTATGGGTTCGCGGAGTCAGACTGGATCAAGTAGACAGAGTGTGTAAACTTTGCTACGGTGTCGTAGCTCCACCACAGAGCAACACTGCAAAGTTCACTAAACATAGATGTTTACATTTTTCATTTATTTCTTATATTGCAAACATTTGCACTGTTATCAGTATTTGCACACTATTTTATATTATTTTTTAAAGTCATTTTTCAATACATTGTTATTGTTAACCCTTTAAATCCCTGTAGAACCGGAACCGCGTAAGCTAGCGCAATACTTTGTTTTGCATATGAAACCGGAGATGTACTTACATCTTATGCCATCAGCTTGTCCTAGGTCACAGTTTCCTTCCACATGAAGCTTTGCAAAAATTGCATAAAAAGCGCTTACAGGAACAAAAACATAATATTCCAGAAACATGCTTTGCCGATCGATCAGCTGTTTATAACACTTCCCACATTGAAAAAGACTTCAACGTCGCATGTCCGCCATTTCCTGTCCGAAACCGGAGGTAACATCATTTTCGCGGAAAATGTAGTTTTTTTTACTTGTAGGCCTTAAAAGCCTATACTAGTGTTTTTATAAGTCATGATTGACTCTATCCGGTTGTTCAGTCTGACGTACCTAGCCGTGTCTGGGTCTAAACTCCGCTGCAGGTCCATATATCAAACGATCACTATGGCATTACTGAGACTTGAAAAACTGTCTAAAGTCTTTCATCTTTAATAAAATGATCAGCGTTCTGCTCTACCAGGTGTAACAATTGAGTTTAACATCCAGGCATCCATGAAAATGGAATTTATGAAATTTAACGGAGTTAGAAGTTAGCAGGAAGTTAGCTCGCTAGCTTGTATCTAAATACAATATAGCATGTCCTGACTGCGGGGTTTTGGAAACAAATTAAAACGCACAGCTCTGTTATCACTTCCAGCATAAATGAAGACAGAAAACCAAACAGCAGTGACGTTTGTAGGGTTACTGAAGTTGGGCTAGCTGGTATATAACGATGTGCTACGTGACCGCTAGCGACACAGCTATGTTAGCATAATATAAACAAGCTAACTTTTTTTCCACTCGATAAAAGTTATCGTGAGTGTTCTCGGTGGTCAGGAACAAATGTAATTGCATGGCAGGATGCTGTAAAAGGACCAAACTTCAGCCAGGAGAACAACTGAGATAATCCATCCACAATACAAGGTTAGTCATTCATATACTGCTGCATGGGCTGGGCTGTAGTTACATCCTAAGGTTTTAAAAACTGAGCTTAAATAAATTATTAGCGGTAATAAAAGCTGAGGGAGGTCAACAGTGATCACTGACTGTTTTAGGAGCTTTTTGAGATTCCATCCATCCATCCATTCGCTTCCGCTTATCCTTTTCAGGGTCGCGGGGGGCGCTGGAGCCCATCACAGCTGTCATAGGGCGAGAGGCGGGGTACGCTCTGGACAGGTCGCCAGTCTGTCACAGAGCCAACACACAGGGACAGACAACCATTCGCACTCACATTCATTCACACCTAGTGGCAATTTGGATTATCCAATTAACCTATCCCCACAAGCTGCATGTCTTTGGACGGTGGGAGGAAGCCGGAGTACCCGGAGGGAACCCACGCAAACACGGGGAGAACATCCAAACTCCACACAGAAAGACCCCGGCCTGATGGTGGAATTGAACTCAGGACCTTCTTGCTGTGCGGCAATGGTGCTAACCACCGTGCCACTTTTTGAGATTAAATAGAAGAAAATACAAAACATTAACATTGGGGCAGGGATAGCTCAGTAGGTAAAGTGGTCGCCCCATGATCGGAAGGTCGGCGGTTCGAATCCACTTAACGGCTACCCTGAGGTACCCTGAGCAAGGTACCGTCCCTACACGCCTGCTTAGTGGGCTGCCCACTGCTTCACTGAGTGAATGGGTCAAATGCAGAGAAAAACAAGTAATTTCCCCATGGGGATCAATAAAGTACCCATTATTATTATTATTAAACATGTTAACAACACAAAAGCCATATTAAACGCAGACTACTTTCGGCCCGGAAGTAGGATTCGTCACGTCATCACTTAACAATCGGATACTTTTCTGAATAGTTTCTGGGATGCTTAGAACTTGAATTGCACTGCTGGAAATAGTTTATTTTGATGCACCTGTTGTTTTCTTTGCAAATTTGCATCATAGGATTGTTTTTTGGTTTTCCTGCAGTATATAAAAATTGCTGTATCTCCAAAATAAAACTGTGAAGAAACTCAAAATAAATTCCCTGTTGGTGTAAACTATTTTTTGCAACTTTTTTGTATTTAAAGTTTTGAGGGATAAGCCTCTTAAATTTCTCCAAGTAGAAATATATGTAAAAAAAAACAAAAACGATTTTCAATTTTTTTTGTAGTTTATTACACTTTTTTGCAATTAATGTAGTTACTATGGACTTAATGCATACACATTATTAAAATATGGGCTATAACAGTTGTATTGATGTATAGCAACTTGAAATGCTCCCAAAAATGGCACTACAGCATGTAAAAATATAATATAAGCTCTGGCGAACTTGGTTCTATGGTAGGTCTTAAAGGGTTAAATAAATATCGTCAAATAATCGAGATCTCAATTTCAGTGAAAATAATGGTGATTATCATTTTTGCCATAATCGAGCAGCCCTATATACAAGTTAGAGCAGATTGTGGGGATTTTGTTTTATTTACACGAGGCTGTGATGCTCCTCGCTCTTCTGGATTTACATCAACTCCACTGCTGTTTGTCCTTTCAGTGTCCTTGTTTTTTATTTATTTATTTGCATTTGTATGTATGCATGCATTCATTAGTGAGCACTCCAGGTGTTGTCAGTACACCCTCAGCTCTGGTTTAATATTGGGCTCAATGTTATTAGATCACTAACTGTGCCAGATTTATCCTCATTCTAAATGCAGGATTTTCAAGAATCTATGCACTGAAATTGATGCCCTGATGTCTGTGGAGAACCTGGAGCTAAACCCACACAGATCGCTTTCTCTTCACTCAGCATGGAAACATTAGGCATGTCGGTAACTGAGCATCAGCATCTCCTGAAGCATCAACATCACTACTGATCTGACCTTCAGTGCAGGTCAGAGAGTCAAATCTCTGCCTGCTGCAGGAAGTTTATGACTGCAGGATTAACTGACAGACCTGCACACCAATAGCCACTCATTTTACATATTTAAACGTTAAAAGAGAATCCAACATGCATTACTTCGTTAGTTCAACTTTACCAGCACGATTCCGGGTTTTTTTTTAGAGGTTTTTTTTCCAAAGTGAAAACTGCAGGTCAGTGAGAACAACCTCACAATTCTATCATGATGCTTAAAATACGAGTTTATAGTTATGTTTATCTGAATTAATGACGGTAGAACTAGAGGTGTGATCCACCTGAACAGGTAAAGCTTTCCTCTGACAGGCGCTGCGGCCTTTGCAGCCTGTTAGCGTTAGCCAACTAGCTCAGAGAGCTAACGATCGCCATGCAAATGACCGCAGCTAGCCTAGCATTTAGCTTAGCTTGTAGCCGAACACGGGCTGGGGTTCAGTATCGTTATGTAACAGTTTACGTGCCGGTTTCTGTATTAAATATACCCACATCTTCCTCTGTCGCTCCATCTCCGCCTTCCTCTCCTCCTCCTCCTTCCTTTGCTTCTCATCAAGCGCGTTCCTCTTGCTCAGTGTCCGGCCGAAGATGTCGATGCGCTCCGGCGGTGAGGCTGCTCTCTCTCTGCGGGACGACGCTGTGTTGGACCGGGATCGGGACCGGGATTCTCTGCGCCGGTTCCTCTTCGACTCTCGGGACTTGGAGCGTTTCTTGGAGCGCTCCCTGTCTCGAGATCGCGACCGGGACCGGCTCCGTTTCTTACTGTGCTTGCTGCTTTTGGAGTGCTTGGACCGGGACGAGCTGCGGCTCCGAGAGCGGCCCATGGTGCCCTGCGGACTGCTGGATTCTACGGCTGATATGTGTACCGAATCAGGCCCTCCACTCCGCCCGCTCCTCTTTAAGCTTCTTATTCACACGAACAGCTGATGTTGCGCTGCTCCAGCGGGTTAATTTTGGAGAAATAACCCTTCAAACTAGCTGTTGTTTTGCCCTACTAACTCGCTTTAAGGAAAGATGGCGGTTTGATGAGTTTTCCCAGCAGGCACCGCGGGCTTCGGGATTTTCCGTCGCTCTTCGGCATTTCCCGCTCAAAGCAAACTAATAGACTGAAAAGACCAGAAACCAGCCAAAACATTTCAACAAATTTAAGTCCTTTATGAATGGGAATATATGATTTGTATATAATTTATACATTTTAAAAAAGTGTAAAATGCATTTTATATAAAATATATAACTGGGATACATAAACTTATTTTTCCACAAGTGAAGTAATCACATATTGAAGGCTTAAGAAAAGTTCTGGCATTCCATTTTGAACTTTGGATTTTAGAAGACTCAATAAAAAGTTTTCTAAACTAACGCATGATTTTATTTTTTTCTCTTAATGAAAACATGTATACTTGTATTTGTTTTTTATTCACTAATGACATTTGACGTGTGGTCAATTCTGGGAGTCTAGAACCAAGTGGGTGACGTTAAGGCAGTTAAATCTATATTTGTATTTAGCCTGTGGTTTTAACATCACACCAACGATAAAGATGACATTTCAACACACAGCTGTATTTGTATTTTTAAAAAACAGCCTGAGTACCATATGGTATGTCTCCAGTTGTTCTGGTTGTATTGTCAGATGCATACACATTTTTATGTCGCTTATCAGTCGCTTTCTTCCTGCCCCTGTTTCAGCTCCAGTGATCTCTTGATTAGGGCAGGTGTATCGATAGGTTGCTAGACACCAAGTTAGCTTTAGTTTGCTCCTCCTAACAAATAAGTTGTGAAAAGTAAAAAGTGGTGTAATTTCTGACATGTTACTGGACATTGACTGGATTGCATCCATATTACTCTGTGAAGGAATTTGTTATTTCTGTTGATTGAATCCAGTCTGAATCAACATGCTGCTTGGTTTCTTCAGCCTGACAGAGAGGTAATCCAAAATACTGAGACTATAATGAATGGATAAAAATCTATGGCTCTCTTCCACAGCATGTCTCTTGTTTTGCCTACCTCCCCTCAAACCCAACCGTTCACAGCAGATGGCCGCTCCTCCCTGATCCTGGTTCTGCTGCAGGTTTCTTCCTGTTAACAGGGAGTTTTTCCTTCCCACTGTCGCTCATGTGCTTGCTAATAGGGGTCATCTGATTGTTTTGGTCTCTCTGTATTTTAGGGGGTTTACCTTACAATATTGAGTGCCCTGAGCTGACTGTTGTTGTGATTTGGCTCTATGTAAATACAACTGAACTGAAGCAATGGAACCAGACCATCTTCTGCATCATTTACTGGACATGCAGCTGAACTCTTTCTCACTTAGCTCAAAACATATTTTCAAATTTTCATCACCTCATACACAATACTTAGATTCATTTGAAACTCATTGTCATGTCATATTTGCCTCTAATTTTCTGAGTTCTTCACTTTTTTGTAATTTCTGTTTACTTGAGCTCCTTTAGCTTTTTGAACTATTTAGTTCTGTGATATTATGTTTATTTTAATAAGCTAGGTTGTTATTTCCAAAGTGTTGATTTTCAGTCATTTTAAATTTTTGAGATAAACTAGTTTTCATTCTTTTTTATAATTAACTGAATTATAAAGGCCTTTAAAGACCCAGTCCAGCTGAACTCCCAACCCAGGCACTGTGAGGTTTTTTCCATAAATGTTACCACCTCACTGTCATTCAGGGCCTTTAATCTCTATTAGGTTAGTAAATTTAAATGTCATTCAATACCTTTTGTGAAGCTACTGTTATTATATGGGGTTGACACAAAATCCCAAACCACATCATATGTGACCAACTTGGCAGGTGATCTCATTTTTGACAAAAATTAAGTTTAAACAGTAAAAGTTATAAAGAGTTGACTGGACGTGTTGCTCTGCTGCAGGAGCTCGACAGCGATTTGAAGTTTTGTCCCTGTTTGACCTATCTCTAACGTCGCCGTGTCCATTTTTAAAAGCTGTTTTCATGCACTATCAGAGCTGAAAATGACGCTTTTATCCAAGCTTGTAAATATAGAGACACGAACATCAGATAACAGACAGAACGAGGGAGGAAAAAGGAATACCCAACTTGACAATGACACAATCCTGCACGCAACGTTTGCCATCACGCTCTGGCAAAATGAGGCCATTGTGATAACTCTCCCCGGAGTGCTGCGCTCAAAATAAACTGCCATTACTATATTTAAAAACACATAACTCACCAGCCCAGCTTCAAAAAGGTCACACCGCTCAAGCTCAAAATGAAAGTGTTCTTACTTCAGAGGGTTTTCTCTGTTTTTGTTTTTTCTAATTACCTGCAGCGGCATCTAATTTTAGTAGAAAGAAATAATTTGTTCACAGGGAGTCACACTGCGTGCTGCCTCGATTGCACATCAAAAGCACTTTTACTTGTTGTGAACTGAGTTGTCAGATGACTCACTTATATACCCACACAGATGGAAAAGGGCCTTTGTGTTGAGCTGCTGTGCATTCATCCGTGAGCCTGTGGTGTCACATTGAGTATGAGCACTTCCTCAGAAATACAAATTTCCTCTGAATTAAAGCAAAGTCAGAAATGAGGTGATTTTACTGCCACAAATTGAGGGCAAGTCGCAGTTGATCCGTCCAGGAACAGCATCTCCTCCCTCCCTCTCTGCTCCTCGTGCCTCTGCTTGAAGCCAAATAATCGATTTTCTTTAACTTTTATTTTAATGATCCGCGGCGTTCTGTCCCACAGATGAGAGGAATTGGCATTAAAGCACCAGAGATGTCTTGTTTTTCACTTGGAAAAGGCAGAAGTGCTTAAAGCCCCCTTTTGATGAATAATAGAAAATGCTTCATGGAGGTGGAGAGGAAAGGAGTTCCAGTGTGACTCCGGTCGGGGGGAGAGGAGGAGAAGCAGAGGATGTGTAAATGAAAGACTTTGCCTCAGTTTGTCTGCTTTGCTTCTGGGTGGTTTGAGGTGAAAGTAGAAGAAGAAGCAATAGAGTTGGTTTAATGTTTCTCTAATCCTCTTTTGAAAGAGTTCAGAGGTAATCTCAGGAGAAGCAGTTTGGATAAGTCACAGATAATAACGTCAGTTAAGGCTTAAAGGTGTATGTGATACAGGAATGTCACCAACTCCTTTGAAGAGCAAAATATCCACTGAAGTGGGCAACTAAAATCTCAACAATGGGCTTCAGTGTCCATCACACCACGATGGGAATAAAATGATACGTAAAAAAATGGGTTTCACACCTGAAAGCACCATTGACTCACCTGCTTTCTTGTCCTGTGGCGTCCCTCAGGGCTCTATTCTTAATCCTCTTTTTTTGTGCCTGCTTCCATTATCATATGTATTTAGATAGATCCATCTTCATTTATATAGATGATGTCCAGTTTTAATAACCCAAACTCAAACTACCAGCAACAGACAACAATACAGCAGGAAATAACATGACAGGCCAGTTAATCTTGTTAGATTTTGGACTACTGATCAGACAAAACTAAGGATGTGAAGATGTCACCGGTTACTTCATACTGAGAAAAGTCTTTGATAAATTAAAAGCTGATAATTGAATGTTATTCAAAGATTATGTGAGAATTAAACTGGGTGGTTTGTAATAGGTAAATGGTACCATGTACAAGCTATGTTGTTATCATCACCATCATCATCATCATCATTATTATATAAGGTCAACTGTCATCACTTTGAATTTTAACCAGTGATGCTCTTTCCACATTTATAGAGGTTAGAAAGCAGCTGTGATGAATCACATGACATCTGCTTGTACTGTATACTTTCAATGTAGTTGGATGAATCCACAGAGAACAACAGCACAGGTAAGCTGATCACAGCCCGTCCACAAAGAAAACAACTGAAATTATCTGACTTATTTCTAAGTTTATTCATTTCCCCCACGCTGTACTGCAAATCCCACGTTAACCCCTGATTACAACCCTTCCTGTTTACATGCATGAGTGGAAACAGTGCTTTCAAAGATGGCGCATGCTGTTGCTTCAGGGGGGAAACCTCTGCTGATTCCATTGATATTCATGTGTTGAGATGAACCTCAGCAACACTGATGCTCAAAGCTGAGTATAGAAAAAAAATTATATTGTGACTCTTGGAGTGGATATAAAACTGTTTTGGTTTCAGTTTTAGCAGAGTTTAAACGTGTTTTTTAGCCCAGAAAGTTTAATGTGGATGTCTCCTGAATTCATAGGGCTGTGAGTCATGACATCTTCATATATGTTGGCAAAGTTACTTTAAAAAATATGAGCTCATTTAGACCGTGTCTCTGAAATGGTGGGATGATTCCTCTAATTTGGCGGATTTAACATGAAATGTCCTTCAAATAATTTCCAGTGTGAGCCGTTCTGTGTCAGACCTGTTTAATGTACAGATTGAAGAGTTTCTTTAAAATAAATTCAGCATTGATCCGGGAAATCAGAAAACCTCCCCGGCCTGCTCGGCTCAAGTTAATCAAAAAGTCCGTCCTTTCACATCAAAGTTCACCCTCTGCTTTCACAGCTCCCCTCTCCTGCCCCGTGGTGGCTCTTCAGGGGCAGAAACACTTAACAAACACAGGATCTCTTTTAAAAAGCCCCGCCACATTGTCACATTGTCATGTTGATGGCCCAGGGGTCCCAGCATAAAGAGCTATTGAGGATGAGGAGGAGGAGGAGGGGAGCCTGAAAGGCCTGAATGAGAGCAGCTCTTTCTCCTCGGGCTGGGTATGGGAGAGGTGAGGAGCAGAAGGAGACAAAAGGGGAGGATGGTGGAGGTGGAGGTTGTAGGAAAGGGAAGGAACTGAGGAGGGAGGACTGAGCAGTGATACCAGGAAACAATCGTTACTCACTCATTAGAGCCGTTTTCTTTTGGGTTAAATGTTGGCGGTGTTGTATTGTAAGTCCTCTCTGGTCCACCTGATTCCCACTGACTGGATTTTTCTTTTTATACGCCCACCTTTGACTGGCTTTAGGCAACAAACACGCTACAAAAATTTACCTTCAGCTTAATTTCCTGCCATTCTAACACAGTCTCACAGCAGTGAGTAAAACCATCATTTCCCAGACTTACTTTTAGATTTTTCATTCTCAGACTGTGAAAATGTCC